CACTTTATCTATAAATACACCATATGTAATGAAACATAAAAAAAAAATAAAAAAAATTGAACTCAAGAAAACTTAAGCCTTCTTCTTCACTTTCAGATTTTCTGTAGCAATTTACAGCTACTATTTCCTACTGTTTACACCTTGTAGACCTGAAGTTCTTCTTCCTTTTCGTTGTAACACACCTCCCTCTGTATTAGTCATAACGTCGAACAGACTTCACTCGCCGAAGAGATGTTCAAACATTCATGGATATTTCAGGTAATACTTCTATACATTACTTATATTCTTCCAACGCGTTTGGTCATGAAATTTTTTCACTTTTTTCAAGAAGTTGAATTCAAGAATTTTTGATAATTCAAATTACTCACAAAATAACTTCAATTTGTATTTATGATCAAGCACGTACAACTCCAATTGTCAAAGATCTTTTTCACTTTAAATTACCACCACGTACAACTCCATTCAATAAGTTGATAAAAAAACAGTGTTTTTTCAAAAACTTTCTGTGGACAGAGCTGAAAGACTATGTACCCCACAATGAAAGAGATGCCCTTGGATTGAAAAAACAAATAATTGAGAGATATGGCAGCCCCATGGTGGAATAATTGAGTTTATAATTATTAAGCTTTGTGCTCGCTCTTACTTTTAGCTGTCCATATTTCATTCCAACATCGATCTTACTTTATAGATTTATTGCCATTAACATCTTACTTTATAGATTTATTGCTAAGTCACAACAATTCCAGCAATCTAGATTATAGTGAATTCAACATATATGGCTGAAGCTTTCCTTCAAATTCTGTTAGACAATATGACTTGTTTCATACAAGGGGAACTTGGATTGTTTTTTGGTTTTAAGGATGAGTTTGAAAATATTAAAAGCACGTTTACTACTATCCAAGCTGTGCTTGAAGATGCTCAGGAGAAGCAACTCAAGGACAAGCAGCTAGAAAATTGGTTACAGAAACTCAATGTTGCTGCATATGAAGTTGATGACATCTTGGATGAATGTAAAACTAAGGCAGCAAGACTCAACCAGACTAAATATGGATGTTATCATCCAAAGGTTATCACTTTCCGTCACAAGGTCGGGAAAAGGATGAAAGAGATGATGGAGAAACTAGATGCAATTGCTGCAGAATGAAGTAAGTTTCATTTGGAGAAAAGGACTATATAGAGAGAAGCTTCTAGACGAGAAACAGGTGCTCATCTTACATATATTTTATACAATTTAATTAGTGTATATTCATTTAGATGAAGTATGGAACGAATTATACTTGAGGTCTTTCTTCCAAGAGATTAAAGTTAAATCTGGTAATGCTTATTTCAAGATGCATAATCTCATCCATGATTTGGCAACTTCTCTGTTTTCAGCAAGTGCATCAAGCAGCAATATCCGCGAAATAAATGCAAAAAGTTACACACATAAGATGTCCATTGGTTTTGCTGAAGTGG